AATTTTCTCACACTTGAAGCTAACCATTGGCCTTCACCATCGCTCATCAACATCGAAATCCCAGAACAACGTCGGCAGCACATCACCTTAATAACAAACCCGACAACAGACATCATCGGCGAGCACAAATTCACCACCAACTACAACAAACTCATTCGAATTTTTTGTTATGTGCGGCGCTTTATAGACGGAGCTCGCAAAATTCAACAAGAGCCAACAAGATCACATCACCGCATCGGAAATTAACGATTCTCTCCTCAAGATCTGTCGCATCGTTCAAACCCACACCTTCGTAGATGAATTCACCAATTTACAATTAAATCGTCCCGTTTCTCACAAATCACCATTATCGCAGTTATCACCATTCATACACGAGGGAGTTATTAGAGTAGGAGGTCGGCTTAAAAACTCTTCGCTGAGTTTTAACGAAAAACATCCAGTTTTGCTACCAAAATCGCACCCTTTCGTTCATACAATCATCATGCATTTTCATCGACATCATCTTCATGCTGGTTGCCAAACCTTGCTCACCATCCTTCGAGAAAACTTTTGGATTATCAATGCTAGAAGCACCATCAAGCATGTACTCCACAAATGCATTATCTGCTACCGGTTTCGGCCAATTTTGACTGAACAATTGATGAGCGACTTGCCAAGAGACCGAGTAGTGCCATCGCCTCCGTTTGAGAAAACAGGCGTGGATTACTGCGGCCCGCTACTCATCACCCAACAACTCAGAGGTAGAGCTCCCATTAAAGTTTATATAGCTATTTTCATATGCTTCAGTTCCAAAGCCGTCCACCTTGAGTTGGTTCCGGACCTCACGACGGACGCATTCATCGCTGCTCTGAAACGCTTCATATCTCGTCGTAGCAAATGTCGTGTCATTTATTCAGACAATGCCACAAACTTCGTCGGTGCAAATCGGGAGCTGCGTGAGCTCTTGAAACTCCACATATCGCAACAACACGCAGATAACGTGAAAGCGGCATGCTGCAAGGAAGGCATCGAGTGGAAGTTCATCCCTCCCAGATCGCCACACTTTGGTGGGTTATGGGAGAGTGCAGTCAAGCAGGCCAAGCATTATCTTCGAAGGGCGATTGGCGCCCACATTCTCACCTTTGACGAGCTGCACACCATTTGCTGCCAGGCTGAGGCAATGATCAACAGTAGACCCCTCATGCCTATGTCAAGTTCACCAGATGATCTTCGCTCATTAACACCAGTACATCTTATTATAGGTAGATCCCTCACTTCTATACCTGAGCCATCGCTGGCGTCTTTGAATACTGGGACACTGAAGCGGTATCAAGTGATGCAGTGGATTCAGAAACAATTTTGGACCCGATGGAGTAAGGACTACCTTCAAGAATTACAGTGTCGCAAGAAGTGGAAGTCGTCAACACCAAACCTAAAAAAGAACGACTTGGTCTTGCTATGTGAAGATAACAATCCACCATTCAAATGGCCAATGGGTCGCATCATAGACACTATTGAAGGCTCAGATGGAAAGGTACGTGTAGTCATCGTTAAAACCGCTGAAAATACCCACAAACGAGCCATCACAAGGGTAGCGAAATTGCCTGTTGAAAATATCCAGTAAATTACTGTGAAGCAGCACTTCCCAGGGCGGGGGTGGATGTTGAAGGACAGAAGCCTTCAAAGGGATAATACATCGCAGCAGCAGCGCGAGTTCAGTCGCTGACTGCATTGCCAGCGCAGCAGCAGTGCCAGTTGGGTCACTGCTTACAGTGCACTTAGCAATAGGTAGTAGTTGTTGTTATTGTTGTGCATGGCACCGCTAATCGGGAGCATATACAAAAATGCGTGTATAAAAAATGGATTTTCGGCACGACAAATATAACACCACCACTTATCATTGCTGCAGCGCTAAATACACACATCGTCATACATATGTACAAAAGCACCGCAAACAAATCACGCCACCATCACCACCCGCTATTTTTCGTATTTATTTGTCTTGGAATTTGGTCAACCTATGGCTAATACCATTCACTTGGGACACAAATCGATTGAACGCGCACCGTGATAGGCATTCCTCGC